CATTCACAACTAGTTGACTCAGAGGTAAAAGCTGTTATTCCTGAACTTTATAGAGCATGGCACAATAAGTAATTACAGCTTGCAGTTGAAGAGCTAAATATCTGGTGCAGACTTTAGGTGCATCATCTTTTGTCTTATTTCCAGTTAAAGGGTAGTCCGTAATTCAGAAAATGTCTTCCAGAAAGTTCTGCATGTACACCTCTGAGTATCACAGGTATATAGTTTTTAGATAACTATTTCACTCATATACTTCTCTGTGTCAGCCCCAGACTATTTTTTAAATGATCCAGTGTGTTCTGGAATATTGCTGTAATGCTAAAAAAAGCTGTAACAGAAAACAAAACAGTATTCTGATTTCTTAGTGTTTTTTTTTCTGATGTGTTCGTTCTTAGCTCTGTGCTACTGGTGGCTGACAAGCCAACAGCCCAACACAAGTTGGCTTAAACACAATTAAAAATAAATAAATATCAGACTAGCACCCTCAAATAATTCTTCTTGCTCTCCAGTGAAAGCTTTCAAGGATTTTCCTTTTGATTTTTCTAATGGTGAGTTGTTGCAAAGACTCCTCTGGCAGGTTATTGGCTCCACAGCCAGCTGCCATTCACTGGGACACCATTGTAATGACAACCAAAAATATACAAATGCACTGAAAGCTGCCTCTGACTGGCTGTGCAAACAACTGGGGCCAAGTTTTGGCATGTGGCACGGTCACCTGCATACAGTAGGCTGGAGGGCATCTGATGGAGCTCGTGGTGGAAGCTTATAAAGAATAATCCAAAGAATACTTTGGACTGGTGCCTTTTAGGGCATTGTAAAAAACTGCTACTTGGGGTGCCCACGAGTGCAGAGTTCTCGTGTGACTAACCAAAGAAGGGGAGAGGATGCTGTGAACTGGAGTGTGCCAGCCAGAGCTCTGCAGTGCTGCAGCAGCACCCGCCGGTAGCGTTTGCTCTCCCTGCTTCCCAAGTGATCTGCTCTGGGGTTGATGGAGCTACAGAGCAGTCCTCTGGCCTCTCTCCAGTCCTCCCACACACACAGAGTGGTGTTACTTCTTCTCATCTCAGCCATTCCACATAAAAAACAGTGCAAGAAAGTCAAGACAGTCGTAAAAGAGAGCAAGGACAGTAGAGTGGGAGGAACAAACATTAATGCTTTTCATTACTATCATTTTAATGGTTTTGCTGTAAGCTTAAAGTTTGAAGTTCAGATTTCTTGTGCTGGATTTTTGCCATGGTCTGATTTTTTTCCCCTTAGAGTGTTTCAGCTAGTTGAACCTAACCAATTCTTTTGTAGAGCAATGCATCATTTTGCTGGTGTCCAAAGAAACAAAAAGCTCTCAACTCACAACCATTTCACTGGGAAACTCTAACACAGCTGTGGGAGCTTCACCTTTGTCAGAGTGCTCCTGGTGGTGGCCTGGGACATGCTTTCTGATGGCCTTAGGAAGATTTGCCCAGACTTGGTCCAGATCCTTGCAGATGAGTTAGGGATGAAGTTCTCTGAAGGGGCGAGCATGCCCCAACTCCCACTAATTCCTCTTACCAGCCCCACACAATGCTGTGGGTGCTCCAGCCCAGGGCAGTGGGGTTCCCCCACATTTCTAATACCAAGCACTAGAGTTGCTTGTCCTGTGCCCTCTGCTGTCTTGCTAGCAGTGATCAAGAAGGGTGGAAACTTGCTGGAGTTAATTGCAGGCCTAAGAAATTTCTAATGCACTAATAAACTATCATAAGAGCACCACAGAAGAGTCCATGGGGCAGATGAATAGTTCTGTGTTACCAGAGTGGATTTTGGATGATGTGCAGTTAATAATACGTGGAGCCACCCAAGGAAAAATGAGAACAAAAGGAAAAAATGAGAACAAAAGAACCCCCTGCTAACAAGCAGCGTCCACCTGCCAAATGAAGCAGTGTCTTGTGGAATTCCAAATTAAAAACTGAATTATAGTGCATGTGTGTAAGAATGTGTCAGGCTGTGTGTCCCACCTTAATTTGGACTTTATGGATGTGGTTGGAGCTGGGTGTTCCAAGGACATGTTATAGCTCGTGGAAAGTAATAGGCTTTTCTAGTGCCCTTTTCTACTGCACCTCACCCTGATGTGTCTGTAGCTGGTCGGATGAATTTCTTCCTGAAAATTTTCCGTGCTGACAAGAAAGTGAATCCAAGGTGACTAACTCAACTTGAAGCTTAGAGTGGTAGGCGTCTAATATTATGTTGAGATGAGTCCTGCTACTCCTGACTGCTGAGTGCTTGCCTTGGCAGTTGCAGTGTTTTTCCAGCAAATCTTTCTTTGAGGTAATCTTAAGACATGTGTAACAGATTTAACAAGTCAAAGTATTGTTAGTTGATACTACTTGTGCAAGGATTGCTTTAACTGAAGTTTTGCACTTCTGTAGCACCTTCCATCCAAGACTCAGAAGCCTTTTTCCAGACGATTAATTAAAAAAAGATGTCTCACAGCACATTCTGTATCTGGGATAGTTGTTTGCAGTTCTCATTTTTCAGATAACCTTTCTGTGTCTGAAATCCTTAAGTTTCAAGCAAGGCAGACTAGCTAGCTGAGCTGAGGGTGGAAATGTGATCTGCCCAATCCATTGCTTTGGGTGTCATCTTTCCCCACTCGTTACAGCACGTCCCAGGATAATTTGGCAACTTGCACAAACATGGTCATGCAAGAAATGCATTTGAAAAGACTGCGCCATTTATAATGGAATGATGTCATTTAGACATGTTGCACCACATCTGAGACAAGAAAAGTGCTGCAGTCACCACCACTGTTATTTTCAGCTCTTTCACTCAAGTGTCTCTGCGATGCAAATGAGCAAAATGAAAGATTCATAAGACAGAGCAAGAGAAGAGGCTTCAAAAAGCGTCATGCAGACTTCCTATTTTATGTAATTTAGAGGACATTTTTCATGTTTCTCTATTAAGAAACTACTGTCCTTTTTTGCTAAATTATAACTACAGTAAGTGGAACAACAGCTGGCTTCTGTGAAATGGACTTTGTAACTGAAAGAAATTGAGAAGTTTGAAAATCTCTGCTGATAAATAAAGTTTTGTGTAGCTCTTTCGGGTTGTTCTAGGGTTGTTTTTTTTTAAACCTAGTTTTTAACCTCCCTGAACATGTTACTGCAGTGGACTTTGAGCTGATTCCAGTCTGTGTCCCTACACAAAGGAGAGGTGGTGAGGTTTAGCATAGCTAGGACTTTTTTTGTGGTGTTTTTTTTTTATTATTTTTTGGGGAACTGATTCACTTTAAAAAGTTTGATGACTACTTCTTCAATATCCACTTGATAAATCTTTATTTTCTTCCATAAGGTAGATAAACCATCAGTTGTCTCTTTGATTCTTCATAGTGTGCTTTCCTTTCAGTTCTCGGCGAAGTGGAATATCTCCTGTTGGAGCGCCCAGGTCATGTAGCCCTCAGCAATGAGACAGTACTTGTGGAATACCAGTACTACAGTGGTGGTAACGTGACAGCAGAGCACCTCTCCATTCTCTTGCTGGATGCCAACACCAATGAGATAATTGCAAGAAAACAACTTCCAGCAAATCAGTCCCAGGGGAGGATGGAGTTTGAGTGTTTCCATTTCAAGAGGGCCGGGGACTTCTTCTTCAGAATGGCCTCTCTGAGTGATGATGGCACTGCTGCCCCGTGGAGCAGAAGCAACGTGTCCACCCTCCACGTGGAATGGCCTGTATTTCACATTGATTTGAACAAGAGTGCAGAGGTGCTCGGGAGCTCCCTTCAGGTTGGGCTTTTTACAAACGAGCACTTGTGTGCCATGAATGAGACAGTGGTTGCACTGGATGTGATTTTCACCAGCACCCTTTATGAATTTGGGAGAGTAAGCTCTGATGATACTCTGGGCATTAGAACTAGCAAAGGAATCCTGCTCTCTAGGGCCCAGTGGGTAGAGTTTGATTGCCCACCTATTGGTCAAGAAACATATATCACTGCATTACTGAAATCATTAGAAACACATTCCATCATTGCCTCCACAGGACCCATAGATCTCCTCCACAAATTTGGATACAGACTGGTTGTGGCCCCAGAAGCAACGTGCAAAACTTTGGTTCAGGTCTCCATATTCTCTCCCCCATGCACTTCTGTCAGCGGAAAAGTTGTCGTCTACAAAGAGGCTCCCAAGCATCCTAGTCAAAGAGCAACCTGGCTGTATGAAAACACCCTTCACCCAGGAGACAACAGGACAGAGTTTAACTGCACTTTGTTTGACGTGGGGAAGAACAAGTACTGCTTCGACCTCTTTAATTTCTCAAAGCGAAGCCATTTCCCAGCAAGAGTTAAGGAGTGTGTGATGATCCAGAGGAATATGGGTTTGTACTGATGTTTATCCTCTCTTAGCCAGAAAACAGCACTCTCCCTAGCCAGCATGGGTAATTATAGATAGGTTTCATTGTGATGTGCCCTGTTGAATAGCTACTTTTTGGGTCTCCTACACTAGACAAAATAGTTGTGGGGCATTCTGAATGATTCATCTACCTAGTCTGGGTAAAACTAAAGCTTGGCCCTCCCAGTAAGGTCAGAAGCTACTGCTGAAGATCTGGCCCCTTGGAGACTCTACAGGTAGTGTTAGTCTTGCCTACATCAAAGTGTCTAAAAGCCAAGGGTCCAACATTAAGTAGTTGTTTAGCTTTTTAGTCAGGAGAAACAGGCATCTCATGAGGGTGATTCACAGGTACAGAAGATAGATGGGCTCATATACAGACACATGGTTTTGGCTTCTGCCAACCAGCACTCTCACAGGCCATGCCTGGACACAGCCCAAAGGACTCTATGGACCACAGACTGTCTCTAGTTGGCAGCTTGTATGATTCTAATCTAGCCTAGGAGGAAAAGCTTAGCTATATGTATGTGACCCATGACCTGCCTCTGATGCTTAAAACAGATGAGGGTGCATTTTCTGACACATGAGGCCACCTGGCCAAAACCATGTCCAGGAGTATGAATGATCAGGGATAAGGCACGGTGACAGTTAAGTACTGTCACACAACAGAGCTTGAGCCTGTTCCTCAGCCCTTTTTAAGGAATATTTATACATTCTATTTATATCTCTACATCTTATGCAACTGTAGCTTCAGAGGTGGCAGTCCATGGTGTGGCAGTCTATAAATCACAGTAGCGTGGCAGAGGAAGCAGATGAGCCAAATGTCCTCATCTCTGATTTGTGGAAGGCAGCCAGGGATGGGCTGTATGTACCTGAGGGAACTGGGGTTGGGTTGGGTTGGGTTGGGTTGTGTCAGCTGCAGCCTGGAGTGGAAAAGTGGATGTTCTTCTTTGGAGCAGGCTTGTGTCCATAGGTAATAAATTAGTCTTTCCTGCCTGCACACTTCAAAGAGTTTGGGTTGAAAGGTTTGGGGTGACACCATTTTCTACACACTCCCCACTCTGTTCTCCCTGAAAAGGAAGTGCAGGACCTCAAGCCAAAAAAGGGTCATTGCATTTCATGGGCAGGTGTCTGAGCAGGATCATCAGGAGACCAGGAGTGTAGGAAGTGCTCCCTAGAACACAGTCCAGGCCTAGCCTAGCTTAATGAGCTTCCGAGTATGGTGTGGTCTTACTTTGTACTGTTTCAGAAATTCTAGAACTGTTAGCTGTTTAATTAACACTCTGTGCTAAAAATGACCTCTATTTTCACCACGTGCCAAACTCAGTGCGTCGTTCTCTTCATCCTAACTTCCCATCTGCGTTCTCTGTTGGCACTCTCTCTTTCCCTTTGGCATAAAAAAGTCAATCTAAAAATGAAAGCATATTATTTTCTTAATGGAGATAATTCTCGAGGAAAAAAGGAAGAGAGAATTCTTCCTCTGTGCTTGGGTGGTATGTTATACTGATACAATCTAGATAATTGCCCTGACAGAGGAATACCTAGGATATGACACAGAGATGCTTCCGTGCTCAATATTTGACCATTTTAATTGACAAGATCCACCTTCAGCAATGACTCCTTGCAATCTGCTTTGTTCCTTTGGGTTCCCCAATAGCCCTGTCCTTACAACTGCAGTGGAAAGAATCAGGCTGTGCCTGTGAAGGCCTGAGTGAAGTCAATAGCTGCCAAGTTAGAAGTGTCACATCTCCAAAGCCGATGAAAGCGGAACCACGCCGCGTAGCCGTAAATAAAATGTCAGCCAGGAATTAATTAGCCTGCAGCACATCTGACTTTGGTGCCTGCATCTGCGAGACTTCAAAGCCTGCAGGCAGCGTTTGATAGGAGCTGGGAGGGGTGCATCAGCCTGGAGCCACGGCAGGGACAGCCCCTGCCTGCCTGTGGTGGCCACCCACCTCCCAGCTCTGCAGAAAGCCCTCTCCTGAGCCCCTAACCCTGCTGCAGGGCACTGGGAGGTGCTGGCTGTAGACCCGGAGCCCCATGTGAAACCCATGGCTGCTGCACAGTAGGCACCTCTCCTCAGGTCACTTATTTTCTGCTTTGGGCTTCCTGAAATAACTCAGTTTAAGGTTAGGAGAGGCAATAAGTCCTGTAGTTTGGGCTCCTGTGCAGCATGGACCATCACTTTTCATCCAGTGACCCTAGGGTTGACCCCCACAGTTAGTCTTTGTAGCCGACTGCCATTTATCCTCCAGAAGGTCATGCAGTCTTTTGTGGAAGGCACCACAAAACAGAGACCTTTCTAGTAATTTCTCTCAATACTGTGCTCTGATCTTTTTTTTTTTATTCTTTAAAAAAAAAAGGGAACCTGTGTATTTCATAACTAAGGCTCATCTAGCTTCATCCTCCGGTGACTGGCTCATGCTCTGCTGCTCTCTGCTAGAGGTGACAGCTCTCTCCTATCCCCTGTCTCCCCTCTGGGAAAGAATGGGAAGGTGTTTTCTGCAGGATTTGATTAATTTTGTGTCTCTTTTTGGCTGCATTTGCGTTATTTTCAACACTCGTTTTTATTTGACAACAGAGGCACCATCTTTGGGTGCTGTGTTCAGGCATCCTCCTCACTGCTGCTGCTTGAGCAGTAGCACTGTCTAGCCCCCCCCTCTGCTTTCATTCCACCCATTGTATTATCTAATTTTGCCATAACTTCTACCCTGCAAACTCCCTTTGAGCTGTTCTTTTGTATGACCTTCCAGCATGAAGTCTACCATCCTGCTGCTGTGGTTTTTTATTCCTTCTTTCTGCATTTTGCATTTTGCTGATTTATGATCTGCCTTGCTTGAGTTATGCTACATTGCTCCATACAACTGCACTATTTACTTATGTCATCACAGGAGAGACATATTTTCAAAGAGTAACAGTTTTGTATTTATTTTCATGTCAAATAAGCAAGAACTGTACAGGACTGAGCCTTATAGTAATCCCTTTGGAATCTCTCCAAATTCATCCCTGCTCAGTGATGGTTTTCTGTTGACAATTGTGTATCAAATCTGTCACTCAGCCAGTTCTTACTCCATTTAGCATATGCTCTATATTTATGAAGCAGAGATATTGTCTTGTAGAAGAGCAAAGTTCCTAAATCTTTAAAATTATCTTCATCTGAACTACAGTGGATGAGATGGAAGATTATTGAGTTGGGGAATAGGTCTATGCAATGTGAGCCAGCACTTGCTCAACTTTCTGTAGACTCCCAACTGGAGAACCTGTGAAAAAATAACAGCAAGCTCTGAGTCACTTCATTCATCTCTGTGGGGTGTTAACTGTTTCACACAGGTGACTTAGAGTCATGCAGCTCATTTTTTCTCTGTGTTTGACCAGATTATTTGAACGTCTCAGGCAGGAAACTCTGTTAGATCATCTCACCCAGCAACAGATGTGTTGCAGGCTCATTCTTTTCAACACTTTATCCTGTATCTTTTCAACACTTTGCTCAGCTGGGATTTAAGCATCCCCAGCAGTGAAACTTTTGCACTCCTTAGAAGGATGTTCCATGTCCTAGCCTGTATCCCACTTGAAAGATTTGGGATGGGACTGATAAAAGTGATTTGTAATATTACAGCATAGAAATAGATGTGTTTACTTCATATTTCTGATGTTATCTTTCTTTTACTCTTCTTAGTTGCACACTGGGGACCAGTTTCAACTTTGGTGTGGCTCCCAGTGAAGTCTCTTGCACTTTCTGGCAGCAGAGATGAATTTTGTTCATCTGACTTTGGCTAACTGTCAAAAGTAAAGCTCTCAGGAGGTCAGCAGGGCATGAGAAGTGCAGCTGCTGCCAGCAAAGGGAAAGAGAACCTTCTAAAGGGAGAAGTGGTTGGTAAGGGAGGAGAGGAGTAAGTGGAGTGTCTAGGGGTCAGGCAGGGATATACAACTTCTGTCAAGATCTTGCTCCTTGAATAAGACTGTATATGAATCAGACCTGTCTGTTGCCTGTAGGAAAATCTGGGAACCAGTTGGCTCTACTGCCTGAATCTGTAGCTGACTTGAATTTATTTAGAAATAGGAGCATGCAGGGGATCCAGGTATGCCAGGGCTGGTTTGTACCCCACCTGCTTCTCCTGTGTCAGTGAGTGCTTCATCTCCACACCTCCAGCACTGCAGGAATAAATCAGGTGTTACAGACTCACTGGCATAACCCTTAGCTTCTGGAAAGAAAACTTTAGGCTCCACAGTTCTTAAAGATGCCTGTTTGTGGGGAAAAGACTGCAATTTGCCCAGGTGGAGTCTAGGTTTTCTTTCTTTAAAGGGATCCTCATCCTTTCATTGCCCAAACTGGTAACCTGTTGGAGCATGCCACCATTTCAGCACACCCAGGCTTTATTTCCATGGAAACTGAGAAACGGGGTGAGAAGGGTGTTTGCCCAGTTCTTACCCAAACACCAGTACAACATCTGTACACCCAGTCTTGGGACCTCAAAACTAACCTCAGGGTCCACACATACCCTGCAGTCGCCCAGTAGCCATTTACTGTAAATAATTAGTGGTTCTGTCCCATATCACTGGCCTGGTTGGAGTGCTTAGGACTATCCCCTACATCAGGCTGGAGGGATGATGCAGAGCTTGCTGACTCCACCATTGGACAGACCTGCATCCTCAGAGGCTTATCAACACAGAAATTTGAGAGGAGATATTTATGCAGAGCAGCAATTAACACACTTAATGGCATTTATCCTTCATGTTGGCAAATCTGCCAGCTGTCAGCTATTTCAGATTAACTCATCAGTTAGATGTCTTCACGTTGATAATTGATTCCTCAATGGCATGTGAAAATATTCACACTTATTAGAGCTAGTTTGCAGTGCATACCTTCTGGTTTTTCCCCTGGCACTTTGGATCTGTTTTTCGTAAATGGAGGTTAATCATTTCATTTCCTTGGGGGAGAATAAACTCTGCTTCATTTTCTTTTACATCCTGGTAATTGCAGGAGGTTGCAGAGCAAGTTGCAGGAGTTTAAATCTCCCATCTTTCATGGGAGCTGGAGCATCTCCTGCTCTCCTGCTGCTTAAGGTGAATATTCTTAGCCCCAAAGCTATGGATGCCAAGAGTTTCTGCTAAGGAACTCTGTGCCCTCAGCTGAAGGCAAAGTCAGTGAAAAGCACCCCAGAGCTAAGGGCACATCTTAGGTTTGACGTCAAAGTTAGAAGATTACTCATCCTAAATGTTCTTGGACGTTGAAGCCCACAGGCAACAATGTGAAGGCTGCTGAACACACTCCACTAGGACCAGTGTTAGCACTGGAGGCAACCAGAACATTTCTGGGTCTGGATTAATATCTGACTGTAATTAACAGAAGTCTAAATGAGCAGGGAATGTGGACACAGGAAAATGAGCTAGCTCATGCACTGGAATTGTGGCAGAGACTCACCAAGCTGCTCACATAAAGTCATTTATGAGGACTTTATATATCCCTCTGCCAGTGATGGGGGACACTGCTGGAGTTTTTCATGGTACTGATGTGAAGAAAAGTGTTGTGAGATCCCCAAATACTATGATAGCCTGAAGTCTTTTGGAGGAGGGATCAGTGAACCCTTGACTAACTAGTGGTTATGGCCATTTTTTGTTGCTGCCCTCACAAAGAGCTCTGCTCACTAGCTGATGTGATTTTTACCTCTGTCCAAGGTCTGTACCTTTGAGGGAGTCCTTGCCCCAACAGCTAACCCCTCAGTTCCCTCCTCCTTGGCATCCTCTGATTCCTTTTCCTCCTGATGCTACACACCATCCAGTCTTGCTCCATTTCATGCTCTACTGGGACCGCGTGCGGCTGCAAACTGGAGGAGGATTGCAAACGTTCATCCTGCCTCTAGGCTCCTCTCCCCCACTGCAGCACCTCTCCAGCTCCAGAGATGGAGGGGTGAAAGCAGAGGGCTGCACGAAGAGCACAAGGACAGCCCAGGATCACAGAGATGGCAGTGCTGTGGTAGAGTCAGCAGCAAAGAGCCCGGGAGGTCACTTGGTGTCCTGCCCCAGCGAGGTGTCTCACCATCCCATCTCTGCCCTGCACAAGGAGAGGCTGGCGTGCCCCCAGAGGTGTGTGAGGTGTGCCCTCACACTGTACAGCCTCGGCTGGCAGCACAGGGGGGAGCTCAGAACCTCTGGGCCCCATCCTGCAGCGCCGCTGGCTGCGCTGCGTGGCTCACGCCAGCCTCATTCGTACTGGTGTGCTCACAGAACATCACAGGGCAGGGCCCAGAGCAGTTAAACTTCATGTTTATCAAAACACAGCTGTATTTGTTTTTGTTAGAGACTACTCAAACTAATAACACACTATGAACAATACAGCAACCAATATAACGTGAAACCATAAAGCCCTTTCCAGTCGTGCAACACTGTCGGGTCCTTTGACCTCATAACTTGGTCACTGATCAGGAGCTCAGGGACATGCTAAAATTAAAGATAGTGACCTGTGTTGGCAGTAAATACAGCACCCAATATAACATGAAACCATAAAGCCCTTTCCAGTCATGCAACACTGTCGCATCCTTACTTGGTCGCGTCATTACTTGGTCACTGATCAGGAGCTCAGGGACATGCTAAAATTAAAGATAGTGACCTGTGTTGGCAGTAGTAACACCATAAATTATTTCAAAGAGCAAACTTGAACACACCTAATCTACTTTTTATTATTATTATTATTATTTAGCTGATTTTCCACTTTATCTGTGAGCAGTGAGATGGAATTAAGGGGAATATTGTTTTTCTTTCTGGCAGATTTCAAAACCAGGCCTCTGAGTCAACTGACCCTTAGGAGGGTCCCCAGGGGTTTTGTCCTTTAAGGTTGCACCTGGGCTTCAGCATTAGTTTGGAATTTAAAGTCGTGGTTCTGCTTCAGTGTCACAGCTGTCAGATACAGGCAGGAACGGTCCCTTTCTCTCTCTGGGTTCTCACTGCTGTGAAGTCTGAGTGTTGAACACTGGATGAGGATGTAGTCTAAGCAGAAGAGGGATTTCATTACATATTAAAAAATTATGATGTTTGAGATAGCATTAAGAACCTGAGTCTGCCTCCACTTAAAATAAATAAATGAACTTGCAAAATTTCATCTTGAGTTAATTGCCTAACCATAAGCAATAAGACAATAGGGACCTGTGAGCTGTGAAATGAATGAATCAATAACACATTGGTGTGCTGAGAAGATAGTAAAGAGAAAAAACAATATTGCTGTTTCATTAAGCCTTGTAGGCTTGTCCTCCCTTCACAATCATATAAATCAGGAGTAACTACACTTGAGTCAATGAAGTTAGCCTGCTGTGAAAGCACTATTTGACAGGCAGGAATTGGATTCATATATAAATTATGAATCCCTTCCAAGGATCTGTGGATTAATTTCCATTCGCTGTTGTTCCAGGCAGGTCCTCCAGCCTCAGCCGACTGACCTCTCTGTCACAGGCTGGCATTGGAGTGAAAAAATGAAAACAAAGAAGTGGGATCTTTGCCCCAGGCTGATGGGGACGAGGACAGGGCCCTGAACGCCGCGTGCTCTTTCGGTGTTGCCGTTTGCGTTGCTCGGTGATTTACCCTTGGTTTTCTGAACTAAGAGAAGACAAAGGGCTCTGTCTTTACAGGTAAAGAGGCAGACGCCTTCCTCATTGCCTGAGCTTGTGTGTTTGCAGAAACGTGGAGCCCGTGGCAGCCCTGGAGCCCCTGCAGCGTCACCTGTGGGGACGGCGTCCGGGAGCGCGTCC